ACTACTGTGCATGTGTGTCAAGGACAGAAAGGCAGATGTGGCAGTGGAAGGTGTCAAAGCAGTTTGGAGAGAAAAACAAAGTAAAGAAAACGATTAATCGATTATTAAATTAGTCATCGACTATTTTAATAATCGATTAATCGTGGAAGCCCTAATATACACATACAAAAAACAATTTTGGGACATTTTAAATTGATTTTGAATCTTTGTAAATGAAAATCACGATTCCAATTTAAAACTATTTTTTTGGTGCACCCCTAATCAGGACAATCTTTAACAAAATCTAAACGCAAATACAAAATCCAAGACCCCACTCATTTGTCAGTTATTTGTGGGTGGCACCGAGGTGACCAATCAAGTGCCAGAGGAGGCACTTTCTGCTCTGCCCCTGATCTGAAGACCCCCCCCCCACTTAATGGTTCACAACTCCCATGGGGTCCTGACCCTGTCTTTGGCACCCACTGCTCCAGACAGTAAAGTTCTAATTGTGCAGATTTACAAAATCATGCAGATTTTTAATTCAGGATTTACTCATTTTCATCACAAATGGTTTTAAGTTTAGCTGTCATTAAACTTATTAAACTGACTTCTACTCCTCATTTTCCTCATTTTGTCTTGGTTAAATGTAAGATGTGCACGCAGAAGTTTCAACCAATTGTTCTAAAAGGCTTGTTGATGGGAGGCAGCTGTAGCCTAGCTCAAACCATCAGAAATCTAGGTTTCAGATCTATACATATAATTTACTGCAGGCATGTAGAGCTTTTATGTATTTGTATTTTAACACTGAAATATTTTCAGAACTTTTATAAAATGYATCATTGTTGCAGTTATTAGTAGCTGAWAGGGGTGTAACAATACATCGATTCACATCGGTATGTCAATTTAAATTGTGATTTCATTTCATCAGGGCAAAATAAAGATATCGATGTCGTCATGTGCCTAATGTACATTATCATATGCCCATCTAATACAATCATTTATGTTGGAGCATATGCTATTGCATCAAATCAATYACATATTGCGATGGATCAAAATTGTATCGATTTTTTAGGACAAGCTTCTTTTTGTTTTTGTAATGGATTTGTATTTTTTACTCGTATCAGTGAACACACAGTAGTTTTGAGTATTGGGAAAAAAACTATTTATACTGCAAATAAAGTATTTATGTTRWAATTATGGTTCCACTTGCATCYRCCATGCAATCAKGTCAAAGGACTCTCCAAACCAAGCTCCCAGGCTGAGTTTCAACCCCAGCTGGCCCCTGGCTGGGCGATATGGCTGTAAAATGTATCACAATTTAAACATTTCATATCATCCATCCATTATCTAGACCCGCTTCTTCCTTTCAGAGTCACCGGGGTCACTGGTGCCCATATCCAACAGTCACAGTGTGAGGGGTGGGGTACACCCTGGACAGGTCGCAGGTCCATCAGCATTTCATATCAGTTATTAATAATTATTGATATTTTTTTGTTTTTTTTGTTATTCATTTGAAATGAGGACCTGGAGAAAAAAGGTACTCCACATGTTCCTCATCGTTAGCTGACCAGAGAGTGAGACAGTTGCTTAATGCCACCAACCTTGCTTAGCTGGGCTGTGAGGTCGAGCGCCTAAAGTTTTTCCTCTGCCTACATCCCCTAGAGCGTTGTGCAGTTCAGTGTAATTATATCGAATKTATTTTCTATAGATATTGATCATGTGTCTGTCACGATGTTATTTCTGAAGTTAATTGGTTTTGGTGTGTAAAAAATCTCCCTGAATGATTCCAATCTCTCGTCTTCCTCAGACCTCGTCTACACCTTCACAGTTCAGTTCAAACTCGACACTCTTCCCTCAGAGCAGCTCGTCAGAGCCTCCTTCATCCACCTGCGTTCCTCTCCCTCCGCCAAGGCGAGCGCCGCCCAGGCCGTGGAGCTGCCCCGCTGCCGGGCTCAGATCACCTCGCTGGGCGCAAAGAGCCTGGTCACCGTGGAGCCCGACGAGCAGTGGACCGAGACGGACATCACGGCACACGTCAGCGCTCACATCCTGCAGGGGAGGGACCAGAACGAAGAGGGCCACCTGACCCTCACGGTCCAGTACTGGTGTGCGAAACCTGGGCCCGCCGACGAGGACGGCAGCCCCTCGTGGTGGTGGACTCCCCTGTGGGGGAGAAGACAGTGGAGCAGTGAGTCTCACTTCGACACCCCMTCCCTCCTCCTGTATTTGGAGGAGGAGAGGGAGGTGAATGAGTGGATGGGGGACTTGCTCGGGGCTGACGAGGGAAACATCATAAAGCTGGTTGGCTGGTGGCACCCTTCGAATCACCGCCTTCGCCGCAGTTCCAAAGATGACCCGCCTTCGGAACCTAAAGACCTATTGTTGGACACTCTGAAAAACGCCCCGACCTCCTCCTCGTCTTTCTCCACCTCTCCGTCGTCCTCCATCGTCTCCGACATCCCCAACATCCCCAACTACAAACACAAGACTGGCGTCCCCAAGAACCGCTGCAAGCTCCACTCCTTCCGCCTGTCATTCGACGAGCTCGGCTGGGGTCATTACTTCATCGCCCCTCCGGTCTACAACCCTCGATACTGCCAGGGCGACTGCCCGCGGGTGCTCCACTACGGCTACCACTCCCCCAACCAYGCCATCATCCAGACGGTCATCAACGAGCTGGGCGTCGGCGACGTCCCTCCCCCGTCCTGCGTGCCGTACAAATACATGCCCATGAGYGTGTTGGTGGTGCACAAGAAGAAGGTGGAGTACAGGGAGCTGGAGGACATGGTCGCCGAGTCCTGCACGTGTCGTTAAAGACTCGAGGTGGGCCTGATGGACTCGGAACATGCTTAGCATTGATAAGAGACTGGTCCATGCAGATGTGACCGGTCATGTTTTTGATTCGAGCTAAGCATGATGAGCTTCAGGCTGGAAGGTGATGTGGTTTCAGATCTGCCAAAGTTGCTTCAGATCCAGTTTCTGTGTATTAATGGTTTTTGCATGTTTTTTTAAATCTGTTCTGTTTCACATCAGGGCTGCAGTTAAACCAAAAAAAAAAAAAGACCTTGATTTGTGCACAGAATGATCACTGGATATGTTGTCACTGTCTGAGGCCATGTACCTCTATAACAAAAAACAAAAGAATTTTTAACGAACAATGGGCCAAGAGAAATGGGCCTGCTTTGGCTCTAATGAATTACTGATTGCAATGTTTTTTGCCGTTTACAGATTGAACTTTTGCTGTTTAAATGTATTTATGTGCAAAGTCTCCTTAAGCTAACTTCTGCTGTGACTGGTGTGTCCTAAAGGAAAAGCTCTGTTGGATGTGACGGTGTTTAAATGCTCAAACAGGTGTTGCGATGAACATTTTTTTATTACAAGTGGAAAATGATTAATAAAATAAATAGCATGTTTTCTAAAGTCTTATCATTTGTCAGTTTTGTCAAAATGCAGAAATGTTTGCAAAGTTAAACATCAGTAAGGGAGATATAATGGTGCAACGCTTATCGAAAGCAATCTGATGACAGAATCATCATGTAAAATAGTGAACTGGTTTCTTCCCACAACTAAAGAGAAAGCAGAACCAGGCAAGTCTCAGTGATCACATCTCTTGCAAGGAAGGCAATCCAGTGTACGGGTTTCTGATTTGTAGGGGAAACCAGTGTACCTGGAGAAAACCCGCACAAGGAGAACATGCAAACTCCACACAAACACCCCAGGGGTCGGTTTTATAAAACTGGCGTACTCAAAATTTGAGCCCAGAAACTTGCGTATGCCACTTTTTTACGCCAAGGTTATGATTTATAAAATCCAAACT